TTTTTAATTATTATTATCACGGTAAAAAAAAAAAAAAAAAAAGAAAAAGAAAAATAAAGTTAATTATTTTCTTTTATTATTAAAATCGATTTTATCTCTCATATTACTTGGGAGATGTTTTTTAACGCGATTAAAAATACATAGATACATAAAATTTATATCTGAAAATTGAGAAAATGGATTTGATAAATAATCCGTTTTAAGCTTGATATCGATTAAAAATATCGTATTCTTATATTAAAACGAGTCAATGGAAAGAACGGAGATTTTACGTAAATATATATTATCATTGGTTTTTTATTTGTTTGTTTGTTTCTTTCTTTCTTTCTTTCTTTCTTTCTTTCTTTCTTTCCTTTCTTTTATTTTTATTCGATAAACGCGCTTATCCCTTTCAAACATAAAAATAGATCAGCTTGGTTATTCTATAGGCCAAATCAAGAATTATCCGTATGGAATTTATTGAGCTAAAAGTTTGAACTTTGAAATTCCATTCTACCAATTCTGACAGCCAATTAGAACGATGACGTATGTGTGAATACTATTACGAAACCGAAAGGAAAGAGATATTTAAATCGAGATTGGTATTGACCATATAACCGGGAGTATTATTATTATTATTATTATTATTAATAATACTATTTTGTTGTTATTGTTGTTATTCTGGTTGCTGTTATTTTTATTATTATTAATATTAGTGTTGTTATATTGTTATTCTCTGGTATTTTTTTATTACTTTTTATACAAACAACTCTAAACGAAACGTTCATAAAAGCATTTAAAATTGAAATGAAAGTAATACCTATTGAAGGGGAGGAAAAAAAAATGAAATAAAATATAAATAAAACTATCCATCAAATATTAATCATGTTTTACATTTCTTATCGTTTGATTTTCATGATTAATACATTGTTGATGATATACTGTGAAATATATTTTGGTTCAATTCCGATTTTTGGGAGAATATGTCAAATATGCATGCACCTATTAAAAATAATATAAATATTTTTTTATTAAATGAAATCTTTTATTAAAAATTAAGTTTATTACAATTGAGGGAAGAGTGCAAGAAAGTTGTAAAGAACAATGGCGTTATGAAATATTTACCTTTATCAAAAGTAATGTTTCAATAAAAATTACGTTATTAAGACTGGTAGTTTTTTTTATTAATATGATAGTGCAACTTTCTCTAGGAACAAAGTTTTTTTCTGTATGGTTAACTTTAAATTGAATTAAAAAAGAAATAACTTTAAGAGAAGATATGTAAAAAGAGAAATAAAAATAAAAGAAAAATACTAAAAAATAAGTTCTAGAAAAATTGTTCGTATATTATTAAATATTTTATTTAATAGGTAAACAATTTTGCCCATGTAAAGTTATAAATTAATGAATAATTTTATAGATCAGGAGTTATCAAAATTAATAAAAATCTCATTTTTCAATATTTTCTAGTATATCTCTCAGTTTTATACTAGATCCTCAAAATTAATAATGACGCTACTATTAGCGTTGTTTTTTTTGGGGGGGGGGGGATTCACGTATCCCATCAATAATGAGTTAATATCAAAATTCCATTCATGCGTGTAGATTAGAAAATCAAATTGTTCAAGCTGCCAAAGAAGGTGTGATCTTGTCGCACACGAGAGAACACAGGGTGAATTTAAATGTCACGTAGCGTGTTATTTAAAAAAAAAAAAAAAAAAATAAATAAATAAAAAGACAGGCTAAATAACAACTATTTTTTTTAAATAACTAGACGACCTTGGCCGATCGAATAATCCAGTTAATATACATCGTCCATTTTTTGTTTCTTTTTATTTATTTATTCTTTTATTTCTTCTTGCTCTTCTTTTTCTTCTTGTTATTATTATTGTTGTTATTATTATTATTATTATTATTATTATTATTATTATTATTATTATTATTATTATTATTATTATTATTATTATTATTATCATTATCATTATTATTGCTGTTGTTGTTGTTGTTATTAAAATTCGTGTATGACTTAAAAAAAAAAAAAAATTGTAAAGATTCGAAGAGATTCTCGTAAGAAACGAGATTAACGATGAAACGAAGCACCCTCGTGTAAAAGAAAGAAAAAAAAATCAGAGAGAATTTCATATGTCAAAATTATCGTCGGTTGCAGACGGTAAAGGCGTAGCAATCGCCATCATTGGTAGTTGATTCGTAGTGTCGTAGCATTCCTCTTCGCTTCTTCTCGGCTTAGCGATTGTGAGCCCGGAAAGGTATTGTGTTGGTCCATCTGAAGGAACTGCAAGCTAGAATCAAAAAAAAAAGAGAGAGAGAGAGAAAGTGAAAGGGAAAGAAAGAAAAGTCGCTGATGTTTTCCAGGAGCAGGAAGCTCCTGGTAACACTACCACCGCCACCACCATCGTCACCACCAGCATCTCTACCACTACCACCGCCACCACCATAGCCGCCATAACCACGCCATATCAATATCCGGTGTTACCAAGAACACTATTATCAATGGCAATAGTATTAAACCTTCGTCGTCGTCGTCATCGTCATCGTCATCCATTAAGAAAAGATATATGAGAAGGAAGACAAACGTTAATATACGTCGTTTTGTCCTTTACCATGACAACTATTTTAGAAGTTGTTATTAAAACATACACGATAATACACGTGCTCTTATTCGATTCTTCATATATTACTAACTGTGCCAGAGTGTACGAGACGTTTAGATTGACACAGCTCTTAATGTCTTCGCACGTGCAAAATTTGTACGTGGTGGGGACACAGGTTCAATAACTTTTTATCATTTATTTATTTGTTTGTTTGTTTATTAATTAATTAAGTAATTTTTCTTTCTTTCTTTCTTTCTTTTTTTTTTATTTCTTTTGCTTTTCTTATTATTATTATCTTTATATATATACACCTACATTCTCTTTAGATTCATGAATTTCTTTTCGATAAAATCCGATCTTCCATTTTTCTGTTTAATAGCTAAACAAAATAGTTAACTTTTCTTATTTCATTTCCGACCCGTCTCCTTCCTTCTTTTCTTTCGTTCCTTCCTTACTTTCTTCTTTTCTCCTTTCCTTTTCTTCCGCCTTCCTTCTCTTCCTTTTTCCTTCCTTCTTATTCTTCTTCTTCCTCGTACACATTGTGATTTAGTCGTTGTCCTTATTTTACAACTTCTATGCCAGATATAACGTTCGCGTGATGGATTGTATGTACGAATGGAAATCCCATTGCATAAACCAACTCGATCGTTGATTCAAGCGTATTCACGATTTTCTCGAAACTATTATATTATAAAACATGGAATCCTTCTTAATTATTTATTTGTTTATTTTTTTTTTTTTTCTTTTTTATTTTTTACATGCAACATTTTCTATTGGATAATATCGAAAGTTTCGTCAGAATAAATACGATCGTCGAGAGAGGGGGAGAGAGAGAGAGAGAAGAAGAGAAAAAATAAATCATAATTAAGACGTATTAATATTATCGTCGAGAAGACAAAGATGTCACGAACTTTTAAATTGCTTTTTCTAAACTTTGACAATTTTACTGAATGATGAGATTTCTTCATAAATAAAAAAAAGATGGTTCTCTGTTAAACGCGTTTTACTAGTATTAAATGTTGTTTATCTCAAATAATGTTTATCTCTAGCATACGCATTTTTTGTTTTAAAATTTATTAGAAATTTTATAAATTTACATATAGCATGTATTTATTTATTTTCCTTTTTTTTCTTTTTTTTTTTCTTTTTTTTTTTTAAATAGTTCAAGATAAATTTTTAATTATTTCTTATGTGATGATTTTTTCTCTCGAAGATAATTAGATAAGAAAAATAACTTTTTAATCGATCATGGAAATCCATTTGTCATTTCAATTGTTTCGATAATATAAGTGCGAAACAGATCTGTACTATATAGAGGTATATGTCAACTCTTTTGTAAAACGGAGTGTTGACTTTCATTACGAAAAAGAATGAAAAAATAATCCTTTAGCCGGATTCATCGTAAGAATCTTTTTTGTGCGGAATATAAGAAATCTTACGTGCATATGTTTGTAGTAAAATAGTATATATATATATACAAATTTCTGTTATTCCTTCTTTGTTTTCCGTCACGAAAATTAATTTAGGATATCTCTCGAGAGATGCTTGTTCCTTGGAGAAATGCCAAAATAATGTTTTATCGTATTATAATGAGAAAAAGACAGAGAGAAGGGAGGGGGAGAGGGGGGAGAGAGATGAATATATAAATATTAAGAAAAGAAAAAAAAAACATTAATTTTTCGCTATATCACAAGCAACGAATTTTCGAAATTATTTATAATTACAACAATACATAATAATAAACAATTATTTTCGTTTCTGTAATGATATATTGGAAAATAATTATCAAAGAAAATGATTCAAAATTTTATTAGAAGGAGAGAAATTTCGAGGTTGATTGGGAATGGTTTGGGGTGGGCTGGGTCAGGCGGGGTAGGGGTTGGGAGGAAATAAAAGGGATTAATATCGTCCTCTCTTCGTTATACATTTACAACATTAATTCTGCAACAAGTTTTAAAAGCATTCGATGTAATGGTAGAACGTAACGCACACATCGATGATAACATTACATATAAACATAGCGAAGCAAAACTACTCGCATTATTGGATTAAATGGGGAAATTGTAAGTCATTGCCCAATTATACATATGTGATTCTCTCTCTCTCTCTCTCTCTCTCTCTCTCTCTCTCTCTCTCTCTCTCTCTCTCTCTCTCTCTCTCTCTCTATTTAATTTTTACATAGATTTAATGTCTCGTGAAATGCTTAAGAATACATACTATGCAGTTGTCAATTAAAAATTTTAAATAATTCATTAACTATCTACAATTATATTTATCTTGAGAACTCTTCGTAATATGCGTTAACTTTCTGAATCTAATCAGCGCGTGAGTTAATTCGTATGTTAAGAGAGAAAAAGAGAGAAAGAGAGAGAGAGAGAGAGAGAGAGAGAGAGAGAGAGAGAGAGAGAGAGAGAGAGAGAGAGAGAGAGAGAGAGAGAGAGAGAGAGAGAGGTTGTGGGAGAGGGGGGAGGGGGGGAATAAAAATAGATATTCTATGCTTTCATATATGCATACACACATATATATATATATAATATAAGAATCAAGGGAAAATACGAATTGGTATTTAGCCAATGAATGTAAAGCGGTGAGTCCAAGCACGAAATTCATCTCGTTTCACCGATATTTGCGGTCGAAGCGCGAAAAGCGTAGGATAGGGGAGGTGAACGAAAGGGGAAAGGGAAAAGGAAAGGGTAAAGGGTAGGGAAAGGGAAGGACGGGGGATTGGGTTGGTTTGGTTTGGTTTGGTTTGGTTCGGTTCGGTTCGATCGAATCGGCATACACGTTGTTCCCTCACGCGCAAACCACATTTTCGACTATCGACGTTGTATTAGCTAACTTCGAAAGGATTAATTTCCTTAGCGTGTAATTAATCGTTACACCCGAGAATTATCATCGCGATGTATTGTCCTTAATGAACGAACTAACGAACGAACGAATGAACTAACGAACGAACGAATGAACGAATGAACGAGAAAGGAATTTTTGTTTCGATTTTCGTGAAGTTTGTAAAGCTCATTTTAACATACTCATCCCTTTGTTTCTTTGTAAATATAATTAAATTGCTGGGTTATAAATATTGATTTTTTTTTTCTTTTTTTTCTTTTTCTTTTTCTTTTTTTTTTTTTTTTTTTTTTTTTTTTTTTTTTTTTTTTGAAAGAAAATTTTGTTCGACGGATGCGTGCGATATATATTTCATTTATCACTTATTCTCCTTCTAATTCAACTTCTATTTTCTCTATTTCTTCTTCTGCTTCTTCTACTTCTTCTATTTCTACTTCTACTTCTACTTTCTCTATTTCTTCTTCTACTTCTTCTACTTCTTCTATTTCTACTTCTACTTCTTCTTCTACTTCTATTTCTACTTCTACTTCTTCTTCTTCTTCTACTTCTATTTCTACTTCTACTTCTTCTTCTTCTTCCTTTTAATTAACTAATGAACTAATAGCGGACATTTAACGATATTATTTAATACTCGACGAAGCTATACGTTATCTTTCATAAACATCATTGCCGATAGAACGTTTCTTTGAAGTTGTGTTAGAGAGAAGTACTCGCTCGTTCGACACGAAAATCGTGCTGATTGGCTCGTTATTGAATAACAATAAATATTTATTCGATTATTTGAAATAAGTACAAAAGGATAAAAGACATAAAGGAATATAAAGTGGATAACTAAATGTTTTTTTTTTTATGAAATTAATCTTTATGGATTTAATAGTCTTAAAATAATATAATCTTAAAATACAATTTCTTCTTTTTCTTCTACTTCTTCCATTTATTATTATTATTATTATTATTATTATTATTATTATTATTATTATTATTATTATTATTATTATTGTTATTATTATTATTATTCTTCGTTTGTTATCTATGATCAATCGAATTATTACATGATACCGTCAATTTTCAGGGGCTTGAAGCGACATTGAGTGACAGCAAAAAGAAGTACGGCGACAAGGTGAATGCACTTTTGTCTGCCTGGGAGCATGTCACCAATTTCATTCCTGGGGCAACGCCAGAGGCCACCCAGTCTCTCATAGAATGGGCTCACAAGTGAGTTAAATGTTTAAAATAATATATTATATTCTTGGCCATTAATATTATTTTTACGTTGATTCATTCGTCATTATTTTATACTCGAAATGTTTTATCATACAGATATACATATATATCTATACACAAATACATGCATACACACACACACACACATATATATATATATATAAATATATTTTTATAGACATACATTAAAACTGGTATTGCGCGGGGAGTGGCCAAAGTTGTCACCCGCCACGAAGACGCACCTCAGCGTAACATTGCAGAGGTGCGCGTCTCACCTGGTGCAACACCCCGCTGCACTCAGGTGTACCGCCTTGATAGCTCTAGTGCACAATCCATGGACACATCCTGCTCTCGACAGCATACTTAACGGACAACCGGATTCCGAACATGAAGAAGGTAAAGCATTTCTTTCTTTCTTTCTTTCTTTCTTTCTTTCTTTCTTTCTTTTTTCTTTCTTTTTTTCCTTTTCTTTCATTCTTTCTTCTGTTTCCTTTTTATTTTTATTTATTTATAGTTTTTTTTTATTCCCTTTATAAATGAAAGATTCATCGATCATGAAAGATCAAGTAAAATCAATTTCTTTCAAAACACCTTTCTTCGTTTAATATCTTTTCGTTACGGTAGAATAGAACTTCAAAGAACGCCATTACTGAATGGAATTCTTTCCCATAAGTATATAATTTCAACACGGAATATTTCTTTGATGATAAATTAATTAAAATCATTATATTAATGAAAAAGGAGGATTATAAGGACAACAGGATTTAATATGTTATGAAAGAAATATTTATACATACAGACCACTAAATCATATTTTTGTTATTCTACTAAATATTATTATATTAAACGATTATAATCATTCATAATAGAGGAAAAATTGACTTACAAAAAAAAAAAAAAAAAAAAAAAATATATATATATATAGAGAGAGAAAAAGAAAAGAAAAGCTATCTCTTTCTTTCTTTCTTTTCCATCTTTCTTTCTTTTTTTAGAATTTTGCTGTTCGGAAAAGGGCGAGTTGCTGACGATGAGACTGAAAATACTTTGCGAGGACCGTTGCGAGGACATAGCGGTGAACCTCGCTGCAGCGTGCATACGCTCCCTTAGAAGAAGCGACCGATTAAGATCGCTTTCAGATCCCCATCAGATTCATTACATGATTGACGTATATATTGTCCTCCTGTACAAATTGAAACGCACGCAAGATATTTTCGCTCAAGTGAGTATAACTAACATATCAGCGAGACGATTATTATTATAATATTTATTTATTAATTTAATTGATTAAATTAATATATTCAAAATTGATGTTCGAATTAATTCTCTTTTATTTCTTTTTCTTCATTTCCATTTCATTTCATTTCATTTTCATTCGTTAGATATACTCTTTATTATTCTTATAATTGTTTAATAAGAGAATATTATTGAAGTTGATAACGATAAAATTATTCGTTTCAGCTAAAATTAATGGACCTTAATGATGGACTCGAATTAGTACAGAGATTAAGCGGAGAAAAACCAACTAAATATGGAACAGCTCGTGTTTGGAGAAATTCTATAAAAGCTGCGGAATTAGTAGCCCAGTATCTTGTAACCGCCGGCATGGTACGACCGGTATCAGAAACCGGTGCGAATATTTTGGAACAAATTTTTAATTCCTGGGCATTGTTACATTCAAAATTGAAAGATATTACACCAACTTTATCTGGGATGATTAGAAAATTAATAGAACCTGCCGAAAGTGCTCAACATATATACATATTCTGTGCTGTACTTATCAAGCATGTGAGTACAATACTTAACGTTAGAACTACTGACTTATTTTTACATCTGTTAATCAGAAACGTATATTTGAAGAAGATAAAAAAAAGAAAAAGAAAGAAAAAAGGATACTTTATTATGTTTAACTCATTTAATTTTACTACACTATAAACGAACACAAATAATTCTATAATAATTATGATTTTAGTAATTATAAAAGTACAATTCTAATTCTTCGTTTTGTCGAGTTTGATAGTTCTAATGTTAATTAGAACAGGTATGTATAAATAAAATATTCTTATAATATCTTATAAATTTTTTATTGCAGTTTGGCGACAGTATAAAACCATTGGTAATCGAGTTATATATAAGGGCATTAACGACTGATATGAATGAGTTGGAAAGTCAAAAGGCAAAATCGGACAAAGAAAAAGTACGAGAAACGGCCAAACGTTTGAGCACACAATTTCTCAAATTGGCTGACGTAGTTGGTAGCAATATCGGTATAGCGAGAGAATGCGTTCTAACGGCATTTTCTTTGCATCCTACCAGAGCTTGTTACGACAGGATAAAGGATATTGCAATAGCCTGTGGAAAAACGAAGCAAGATGATGGTTCGTTGAACGATGTCGTTGAAAATGAGAAACTTCCAAATACGTCGACGAACGATCATTCGACCACGTCGATAACGAAAAGTGAAAAGACTGTTTCGGAAAGGGGTGGAATTTCGATATCACGTAATGGTAGCATCCTAGAATCCTTATCGTCGTCCTCTTCCGCTACCACTACCAACACCACCACCAACAACACTAGCATCAACACCACCAACACCGTCACCGCCAACACCACCGCCACCACAAGTATTATCTCTACCTCTACATCCAGTTCCATCCCCACAACATATTCTTCCTCTTCATTAGTTGCGACCATAGCTTCGTCGTCCTTGACGAGTACGATAATGACGATCGCAGCACCAACTCCAGTGACGAAAAAGGCCATAGATTTTCAGAACGGCAAAGTATCAAAAACCTTTGAGCGTACGGATCAGCTGTTGAAAAGTATGTTGACGGCTTCGCGAAAAAACGATAACGTGCCGCTCAACGATAAGTGTCTTTTACATCCGAAAAGAAGTTCTACTAGCGATGGCCCATTGGGAGAGCTCTGTTTCAATTGTGGTGAATTTACCGGCGACGAAACAACAAATAGTAAATCTCCTGAGGCATGTACAACTGCGGAAAACGTAGAAAGGACGTTAGACGCTTTGATCTTGATAAAGGGTGAAGCTGTTACGGGATCGGCGAATTATGACGAAAAGTCCGTACCAAATCAAGTTCTCGATGCTGAGAAACTTGGACTTTCGCCACAGTTATGCGACGATTTGTCGGTAGTTCTCAGTAGTCCGAGATATCATATGCTTAGTTGGGTATTAGATTGGAAAGAATTGAATAATTTATGCGAGAGGTATTTGGAAAATGCAGAAGAGATGCGAAATACGAATAAGGAGTTGAAGTATCTCAATATTGACTATTCGCAATTCAAAGATTGGCCGTCGGAAGATGATACGAAGGATGTATTTTTTGGTATTGAAAAGGGCTATGAACAATGGGCCGATTTGCCGTCTG